GCTCTTCGTTGACAATTCCAGGTCATCGTTATCACAAACAACCATCCGCCTAACCGCATTCGTTGGCTCCTTCCTTTACTAAGGGAGTATTGGCTTCCTTTCTTACCCATTGCTTCTCTGCGACGTTGCCCAACTTTTTCACATCTCTGTCCTACGTCCGGATAGTCCTCGAGAGCATATTCACCTCGTCCAAGTTTGTCTTCTCTCCGCCACGAAGGGATTTTGCCTTCCCGTCTGCTTCGTGTCAGAACGGTGTTCACTGACCATGTCTGTTTGGCTTCGAAGACGCTGAGAGCAGCCTGACGAACAAGCTCCTAGCGTGGGTCCGTGGAATGTCACGAAGTGCTCAGCTTCATATCAAACTTGAAACTTTCATAGCGAGGTAGCGTGAGGAACAGCAGGTTTCATATGCTCTATAATACTCTATTCCTAATTAGTGTTTCTTTGGGTCGACCTGCTTATCTCCAATCCACTGGAGCTTTAGTTCGCTCTTCTTCCTTCCGGATCCTTCCGTTTCAACTTCCTCCTTATTGCATCTGAAGTATCTTGCGGTAACCTTCGGAAAACAAATCTCCATCAACCACGTCTGTAACTGGGCCAGTTCGGGCGTCCTGGCGCCATTCGGGGAAGGCTTGAGATCCACATCAATGATGAGGGTCTTGAGTTGTAAGTTCTCGCCAGATAAGACCGCATCCAGTTTCCCGACCCAAACACCTTGTGATCCCAAGTCCTTGGCTTCCAGGGTATCAAGTACAGCACTTCAAGTTCCAAGTAGAACTCCGTAGTCTCGAATCGAGCGGAACGGCGGCCAAGCTTTTAACATACCACTTGAAGAGATCTTGTTCCGGTTCGATAGGAGCGAAGCATTTATCAAGCGTTAGACGGACGTTCCCACTTTCGAGCCCGCAAGATTGAGTGGTGTACCAACTGCATCTTCGACTGGTGAAGAAGGTATGTCAGGCGATAGGGGAATCATAAATAAAGCACGCCACATACACTGATGCGAGAAGAAATTCAAACTCAGAAAAGAGACTTCTTCATATCGGCGGATAAGATTGTTGATCCGGTCACAGTTGTAGCGGTCATCGCATCTTCCGAGAATATCTCCAAGATGTGTACATCTTCCAACGGCGACCACTCATCACTCGCTAAAAAGTCCATGAGCATCAGCATTCCACACTCAAGGAGTTGCAGAGAGTTTCAATGAAACTGGAGAGTTGAAACATTTAAGAAGTCTGCCGTGCGGGGCTTGTCAACTTCCCATTGCGTCCAGGTATCCTCCTCATCCCAGTCCCATGTATCTTCAAGTTTAAGCAACATCTGATCGGCCGTGTAGTGCGGAACAAGAGATATACCATCAAAGCAGACCGCCGCAAGCTCCGTACTCTCCCAGTAACCGAGGAACGCGTTAAGTGCTGGGATGGAGAAGGTGCTGTTGGTGAACGTGAGGTGCATAACCAAGGATTCCTTCAGGATGCGTAAGTCGTTGATCTCGATGGAAGTGTCATCATGGAAATGCATGTTGTCCAGTCGAAGATATCGAAGTTTGTGCATTTTGGGAATGAAGGATATGAATGAGAGGAAGAGTGGACGGCTGGCAGTGGGAATGAAGGGAGAATTTTGGGCCCACAAGCTAACGGTATTTCGATGAGAGAATTCAAGTGTCTTGACGAACGTGGAAAGACTGGGATCATTTTCTAGGGCTTGGCAAAGATTACGGAGCGACGAGTCTATATGGCGATCATTGGAGCGAAGAGAAATCGTGTTGAATAGGATTTTTCGAATGATAGCAATCGTGTCCGGCCAGACTAAACACACCGTGCACAGGTCGCGAAAGTATGCCGCTTTTTCGTCCTCGGACACAGGGGTAGAGCGAGGGTTGGATCTGGAGGCATATGGAGATAATTCACGGATGATGAGAGTTTTGAGTTCGAGAGGGAAGTCAGGCTGAGTCTTTATTCGTTATGAAAAAGCGGAATGAATCGAGACGACAATCGGAGGCGTACCATGATTGCCAAAAAGACGACTAGAAGAACAGATCCCGAGACGAGGGGTCTCCTTGTGTTTCTATGAACTATGCCTTTCTTGGTACTAGGTGGTGATATGAGTGCAAGTGGGTAAAGTGTTGGAGATCGAAATGGGAATGAACTGTGTATGTATCTACTCCGAATGAGTTCAACTGCTTTTATACTTTACTACAATGGATACTAGAATGTTCTACATGACTCGAGGATGAGTAAGCCTCGGGGAGGCGGGGCATAGTAATCCGGGTGGATCCACGTAGCACGAGCTACGAAGGTGCTCGAATATTCTAACATCATAAAGAATTACTGAAACGCCGATCCGTCACTGACAGCTCGACATCTCTGTTGCCATTCGTGTGTTGCAATCAAATGACTTTACAAGGCACGCTGCTAGTGCCAACCACAAGCCATCTTGGTGGCGGGCAGACCAAGATCCACTTCCTCGGACATCGCTGGCGCACCCAAAGGAGAGTGAGAAGCCGGCGCCGCCTTGTCCGTAAGAGTGGACGATGGAGCTCACAGCCCCGTCTGGCCTTGAGCGCAGTTCGCGTTCAACGCGTACGCTGGATAAGTGACACACCACATCATCAAATTCTGACCTGTGAGACGCCGGAACGCTAGCGAAAAAGAGTACCTATAAGAAACGATATGTAGAACACTGTGATGTGATGATTCGTCGTGCAGAATGTGGCGCTCCAGCTCGATGGTACAATGACGTATTCAAACAGGAGAGGACACGAGCAGTTTGGATTCGAAAAGATTCAAAAACCTTGATCGTTACTTGATAGTGTTGGGTAGCTACCAACAATAGGCAAGAGCCAAGCCACGAGATGCGTACTTAACACCAAAGAAAGTCTAGAGACTACTCAGTAGGTCGCCAAGAAACGCGCCAAGTGAGTGAAGACCACGAGCAAATTCGTGGTACAGCATTCCTCTTTCTATACCATGTTAGTTGGGTTGGGAAGTGAACAAGTAGAAGAAGACGCGTTGCGGTCCAGGGAAGTGCTGGCCTGGTGCTGGCTGGCCGAGAGAGCCGTGAATGGTCAGAGATTTGCCAGATAAACGTGTCGCGTAATGGCCAGCGCGTGAGTCGATTACAATTTGGAATACTGAGGTCGGCTTGTGGCAAAGTCAAGCCAATAGGGGGAGTACGGAATCAAATGGAGGAGCACGAGAAAGTATAGCGGGAGACCATTCCGCAAAATATCTCCCGTGGCACCTCCCGTGTCCAAAAATCGGAAGCATATACAGGGCGGGGAAGAGAGACGCATCGAGGCCACCCCACAGTGTCACCGCCACAAGCCTAGGCGAGTACATTGACTGCAGGGCTGATCGGGGCTAGATCGGGTGAATAGCGGAGTAAAGGTGTAGCTAACCGGCCATTCAAGGGATTGATGGTTGAAAGGAACGAGGTAACGAGGTGGACGTCAACGGGAAAGCAGAGAATTGGAAGCAGGGTATGCAGCGGGCGTGGTGAGAATGAGAATAGGATGAATGTCATTGGCAGACGCTGGTCCAATGAATAAGCGGTAGACGACAAGCGGTTGAAAAATGGGTGAGCGGAACAGGTACCCGGAAGTTTCCGATCGGAAGTAGACCCCACAGCATGCTGACCCGGGGCTCATGCTCTTTCTCATTATACCACCATGAATCTGCCTCCAATACCGAAATACACCCTGGCGAGGCGAACTTTGTATACAGCCCCAAAGTTCTTTGACGGCCATGCTGCTGTCCCAGTACTGCCACCAATACCAGCTACCCGAAATGGCGGACACGGAGGTCGGGGCGGGAAACCCGAGTTTGTCATGAGTGCGACGATGAGCGTTCACCAAGGAGCCTGGGGGGCGGACGGGAGGAGAGAGAAAATGGTCAGAGGTTGGGATGCGCAGGGCGGGACGATGCTGCGCCGAGGGCGGCGGATGGAGCTTGACGTCGGCGGGTACGGCATCAGCAAGAGCGGGACTGTCGGTCAGCCTCGGGGCTTGGCAGTTCAGGTCGGCGAGGATGCTTACTTTATCGGCCGGCGCGGCATTGGCGTGGCAGATGGCGTTGGCGGGTGGAGGAAGGGCAAGGGTAAAGAGGTTGACAGCAGTACGGAGAGCGGAAGCGCAGCCTTTGCACATGGTCTCATGGCGGGCGCGGCGGAGGAGTGCGAGATGGAACCTCCACGGCCTTCAAATTTTATTGGCATGCTTGAGCGCAGATGGGACGCGTACGACGAGTTGCGTGAGCTCGAGGATGCCATCGACGTCTTGGTCGTTCTAGAGCGGGCATATGCCAACACCAAACCCGTCACACAGGGTTCATCAACCGCGTTGGTTGCCGTCCTATCACCCACAGGCACCACCGCCACACTCGAGTCAACGACTCTCAAAATAGCACATGTTGGTGACTGCATGGCCATGCTCGTCCGTGATCATCAGCTTGTCTTCCGCTCCGATGAGATGTGGTGGGCCTTCAATACTCCCGTCCAGCTCTCAACCCATGCAGCTCCCGACGACGTCAACCCACATACCTACGCCGTGCCCGTCCGCGAAGGTGACCTCGTCATTCTTGCCACCGATGGCCTCTCCGACAACCTATGGGACGAGGACATTCTTGACGAGGTCGAAAAGTGGGATGGCACGGACGTACATGTCCTTTCCGAGGCACTCTGCTCTCGTGCACGCGCCGTTGCTCGCGATCGCACGGCACATACCCCTTTTGCTCAGCGTGCACAACTCGAAGGTAAAAAGTTTGACGGCGGAAAGAAGGACGATGTGTCCGTAGTCTGTGCCCTAGTGCAGCGAATTACATGATGTATATTAGAGTAATATGTATTCCCTTTGGCAAGCAGATAAATTATACACTCTGTACAGTAGAATTGGTAGTGAACTAGTTCGGCCGAGTCGGACTAAGTCGGACTGACGGTTGACCAAATGAACAAAATTTTTTGTTGCGGTTCCACAAAAGTCAAAATCGACTCACTCAAACCATCGACCACGGCAGTATTCGAAACTGCAATCTTCACCTGCACCGCAGAACCGGAAAGTGACGCGTTAACCATTACGCTACGCGGCCATGGTAGACAGACCCTGGGTGTAGACCTTAGTCGTCATCACCCGACTTTTGCAACACTCACGTACGCCACCTTCCAGATGAAATACACATTCATCCTGCACTACTCAAGGTAAATTCCAGTCTCAACAACTTTGGACGGATATCTATATCCTCGACGACTCAAAGCTACAACTCACAACTCCAGATGATTGATAAACTTCTACATTTATATTTCGCTTCAATACAGCCTAGGTACTGTTCAATTCGTTACAAACTCGCTTGAAACGTCTCATAAAGCGCCACAATAGCAGCCTTCCACCTCTCAGCGTCAACGTGATCCTCAGCGCGGTCATACGTCAAGAAACCTTTTCTACCGTCAGCATCTCAAATACTCAGCTGTCTTGAAACTCCAACGTACCATTAACCTCCCCTTCCACATCCGTCGTCTGGGTGTACACAGCCCCGTTACAACTGAACATCTCTGTCTGCTCGCGCAGCTCCTCGATCACCCTCAACGCACGATAGTTCCATATTTCGAGATTTGCATCAATCTCATACGTCTCGTCAATAGCCGCAATGGCCACATCATCATTCCACAAATGCTCACTGCCAGAATTAGCATCTCACGCCCTATGAAGGCAAGACAACTCACATCGTAGTGTTAACCCCGACACCTCCAAACTCGCCCTGGAAGCCAATGCGGTCCCCATGGAATGGGAGCGAAGGCAGAGAGCTAAACGGCGCGCCACATTGCGGACTACTGTAGTGGTGATTGTCGTGGAAGTCGCCGACGCTCGCGTTCAGGAGAGCCTGGCCGTAATCATGCCACCCCGAAACGGCATTGATGAGTTGGTGTCCTCTAACCCACTCCGCCACGCGTGGCGCGAGGTAGATTTCTGGGCCGGTGGGGAGTTGACCCCAGCCCTCTGTGATTGAGATGCGATGAGCCTTGTGAAAAAGGAGACGTGCCTGTGCATACCATTATAGATCACGAACGACGTGATAGCGGGGAAACCCATGTGCGACTTGAAGAGCAGCTCAAGCTGCCTTTCAAATTCTATCTGTTGTGTTTCGTTCGGGTTGACGCCGGTTGGGAGGGCGGGCATATCCTGCATAACGAGCATCCCAATACTCGCGGCCGCATAATAGTACAGATCCGGTTCCATCTTGATGTGCTTGCGACTACATGGAAATGATAAGTCTTCAGGGTAGCGAAACTACGTTAGGAGACGTACATAAAGTTCATACCCAGATCTTTCAAATACTGGATGTCGAAGATCATAGCTTCATAAGACGGCGGCTGCCAACAAAGGTAAGGTCTACATTGCGCCCTAGACGAACGATACTCACCGAGTGAAGCCCATCCGGCCAATATCCTTGATCCAATGGCCCAAACTGGTATATGGGCTCTCCATTGAGCAAAAAGCGCTGTACACCGTTAACTTCCTTTCGCTCCACCGTCCGAAAAGCGGTATACGAGTACGCGACGTCGTCTCCTACAGTAACAGACACATTGTACACCACCGGTGTATCCGGGCTCCACGTCTGTGGTGCTGGATCGAAAACAAAGGAGAACGGCGCGTTCGTCGTGCCATTTGTCGAAAACACGATTTGAGACGCGTCGTCGGGGTCGAAGAAGGCAATCTGCGCGCTGGCAGAGGAGGTGTTTGATGCGGTGGTGATAGTCGCGCTTACGGTGCCGTCTGCTGCTGCAAAGAGGAGGATATCGGTCATGTGATCGGCGCTCGGTACGGCTTCGAGGGAGACGGTTTGCCATATTCCAGAGCACGGCTGTGGAATGGATGGATTATTAGGGGGCATGGGACCCGTAGCAGACCTGGGAACATACCGTGTAGAAGATGTGCGACGGCACAGCGCGCTGCTTGCCGATGGGGATGACCTCTCCCGCACTGTCCGTGGGATCGTAGACGAACAAAATCAGCTCGTTCGACGTGCTTTTGTCGATATACGACGTGACGTCGAACGAAAACTTGTCATATCCGCCTGTGTGCGTGCCGACTTGTTCCCCGTTGACAAAGACCGTTGTCTCGTAATCGACCGCGGCAAAGTGAAGAATAACATTATCGTCTCCGAAAGAAGAAGGGACATCAAAGGTGGTGCGATACCTGGACATAGAGCGACATTACCCAGCCGAAGCGGAAGAACGACGCGAGAACACGCACCAGCTAAAGGCGGACTGCAACGCAATACCTGAAAGGCCGCTCCTACCAAGCAAATCAGTAATAAATACGCCCATTCCACAAATACAAACACTCACTCTATACAAAATGGCACCAAGATCCTTTGCCCCAACGTCGTACCAACCGGAACGTCCTGTACATCGTCCTTCGACGCCGCGCTCTCAAACTCCCATACGCCATTCAGTGACACCCAGTTGTCGCGCCTCAGCCCCGGGCGCGGATGCTCGGGCCACACATTCGCGGGATCTGCAGCCACCGCCTCCGTCCACGGCGTCTTCAACTTGGGCTCAACGAGCGCGTAAACCGCGTCCTCCGGCGAATCGTACGTCGGGCGCTCATCAGTGAGCCCGCCGTTCTTTGGGAGCTGCGCGTGGGCACACTGGGTGAGAAGCGCGAGTGCTAGTGCTGCGAACCAGACCATTGCAGTGTGTGCTTGGGGGAGACTGGAGACTCTTTCCCTGAGGCTTTATATCTTGGAGAGAGTCTGGAAATTGTGATATGACGTTTCAGCTACTGCCCCACGCATGGAGAGCCCGCTCAAGTGATCAGTAGAGTGGGATCATGGGGTGAGCCAAGCCTGGGGACGCAAAAGATGGGGTGTTAGATGGTTCGGCAAAGTGTAAGAACGTTCTGAGAGAAGCTTTTGAGGTCAGAGTTCGCTGGGTAGATCATGGTTTTGTTCAAGACTGAAGAGGGATCAGTGTGGAAAGGTACATATCACGTGGACCTTGTCTTCTTCAACTCGTTGTCAAAACCTTAGAGTAATAGAACTAGCGAAGACAATGAGAGCCTCCCGAAATATTTTCATTTCTGTATTGATCCCCAGGGGGAGTAGCTGCACTCACAGCAGTTTCCAAACTGATACTGTACGCCATCGTATAACACGCGTACGGTAGTCGCGGTGGAGAATGAGACTCTGAACAAAGCCGGTATCATATCCAGGCTGTACCCAAGGAGCTTCTGGGTTTGCGCACGGTATCAGCGACGGTTTGCGCTTGTTTTTGACTTGCTTGCCTCGCCAGCCTCGATACGCCTCATCAATCGCGAAGCTTATGAGGTGTAAAGAGAAAGGCGATTGACATTCGTGAATGTTCGACCATTAGCTACAGGTCATTTATGGGAACGCGGTGTCACCGTTCGAGGACCATCGTAGTCGACCACCGTCGGCACCGGGACGGTAACGTTCTGTCTTCAAAGCTTCAAACGTAAAGGTGCAGCAAGTCAGCAGCGGGTCCCACTTGAAAGTCCGAACAGCCACCGATAAGATAAGATAACCTGAATGATCGTTTCAAATTAAGCGCTGAACAGTGAACAGCTTTGACCACTTCAACCACAACCTCCTCCTCGGTTATTTGAACTAATAAGAATGTCCACCCTTGACCCATCTATTGGTCTGAAAGGAAAAGAAATCTTGGTACGTGTTGACTTATTGTCCCGTATTCACCACTGACGTGAAATGATGGCAGATACACATTCAACAAACTAGGACCGTCCACGTCTCCCCGCCACCAGACGGCCCTTTTTTCCGAAGCTTACAGCACGATAGTTGGTACTCGCTATAGGCACGTATGCGATCTTCTTACCCAGGCGTAAGCCGTGTATCCACGGGACATGATCATTGAGGAAGCGCTGGATCTACTACACTCGCACAGCGCCCCATGGGAAATATTCGCATTGGTGGAATACGACGTGGCGGCGATACTCATGGATAGCCTTCAAACAGTCAGCACCTTGTTTTCTTGGAGGGCCGCTGCTTATCATACAGCTTAACAGGAATGGGATACAGTACCTTCCGAGGACGCTCAGTATCGCTCGAAATGCTTGAAGTGTTTGCGGACTCTATCAAAACGTTATGATATTATCCCCAGCTTGTTCTTCAGTCCCACTTCGTTCTCCGGCCAGGACATCCGGCGAGAAGGAGCATTTCCCGTTGCAGGTGGCGGATTTGGGGTACGACTATCTTCACTCAAACGGCTTGGTATTTATTGAGATCCCAAGGATATCTGGAGAGGTACCATGGCACAGAAAGCTGTATGCCTCAAAGTACTGCGATTGTTTACGGGAAGTGTTACCGAACAAGCTAGAAAAAAATTGTTCAAGGTGACTAGCACCTCCATGGTTTGCCCAATGACTGCTAATGCCCATTCAGCAATGCTGGCGAGAAGCTCTCGTATGGAGTCATCTGGAACATCCTAACGTACTGCCTTTCCTGGGAGTCAACAGCGAGCTCTTCCACCCTAGTATTTGTCTTATATCACCTTGGTTGGAAAACGGAAATATTATTGCATTCCTTGAGAATCACCCCACTCATGACCGGTTTCGATCGGTGCGTTCACTCCTGGCGCCTTCGCGAAGATAGCTGAGACCCTACGAACCTCTAGCTGCTCGAAATTCTTGAAGGTATACGGTATCTACATGAGCACCGAATTGTGCACGCCGACATACGAGGGGTAGTTTCCACTGTCCTGATTCATATATGCCACTGATTAAGTTTTTACAGGCAAACATTCTTGTTACAGAAGACTTTCACTGCTGTCTTGCTGACTTCGGTCTGAGTTTGGTGGCAGAATCGCAAATGATAGGTAGCTCTGCTATGGAGCTACGAGGATCCTTACGTTGGCTAGCTCCAGAGATCATGGACGGTACATCTGATATATTGCCCATTACCGCCAGAGACATCTATGCATTTGGCTGCACTGTTATCGAGGTTAGCGTTCGTCAAATCTGTATCATTCCTCCAGGTATGACGCTATCGTTAGATATTCACCGGCCATCCTCCGTTCTCGCACATCAAAACTGAGGTTGCTGTAATACACCAAG